TAATCACTTCGAGTGGCGTCAAAACTGACTGGCTTTTAATATCCACACTAATCAGCAAAGAGGGCGTTTCAATAACTTAAAAGCTGGTCATTATTAATTCCACCACTACATTCAATCAATACTCTACTTTTAATTACTTTGAATGATTTTTAATCACCCTAATGATGCAAGTTTTCTTTTAAAATTCAGGCTCATTTCCCATTAACGCCAACTTTTACCAAAAGGAAAAGCTTCTCAAGCAGCTCGTAGGAGTTGGTGTGAAACTGATTTCATTAGTAATTTTAGGGGTGTTTGTTGATACTTGGCCTCGCAGAAAAAGGTGCTGGTTGGCATCCGATTCTCCATCTTAGCGAGGCGGGACAGGAGAAGCAGGAGGAAACGAACCGAAGCAGCATTTGGTACTTTGGTTTGGTTGAGTGTTTTTATTTGGCAGCACAGAAAGTGAAGCTCGACTGTCAATAAAACCAAAATTTGGCAAGTTGTGTCTGTTGTGCTGGAGCCAAGAGGGTCAGCCAGAAAATCTGGAAAGCTTTTATTTTCACAACCAAAACACCTCTTGAGTTGTAGAGATATGAAACTGAAAGGGTTATTTAGGCAAGTATCTGATTATTTTCCCATTTAGCTTTAAAAACACAGTTCCAGACAATTTCATTTTAACTTATTTTTTATTGAAGTTTTTTGTTTAAAGCCAATTTCCAGGATTTTTTTTGTTTTTGCTTTTCTTTTCCAATACAGTTCTGTCAACGAACCATGACCTCAATTCCTTTATATTTATAAACTTCTTAACTTAAAATATAATTTCCCTTCAGTAAATTCACAGCAAGTCAGGTCATATTATAGCACATGAAATGCACAAAAAAAAGGAAGTGAAGATCTTTGTTCTGACTATATGTAAAACTAATAACCTGCTCACAAGATCAAGCGATGAAAGAAAAAAGTTGTGTGGTGTCGTATCAGTTCTAGCCTTTTCTGCCGTCACTCGCATAAAAAAACAAAACAAAAAAAGACAAAAAACTGAAACAACAAACACATTAAATAGGCAGCGTCTGAGTTGGAGGCAAATATCAAAGACGCTCCCAGGTGGAGTTTGACGAAGTGAAGTAAAAATAGAAAGAAAGTCGGTTTTATGACTGCTCCTGTCAAATGGGACGCCAGGAGGAGAGCACACGGTTTCATCAACCCCGTTTCATCACGCACACAAAGAAGACATCACTTCCTTAAATTATTTTGAGATCATTAGGATACAAACATTCATAATTTACTGTCCTGCCTATGAATGCACACACCACCTGTAGCTCAACTTTTTAAAGATTCAGAAATGTATTAAACATTCACATCTCCCTGATAAATACGCTAAAGTAAATTGTACTGATTTAATTGATTAAATGTAGACAGAAGCAAGATTTATATACCAGACTAAATCTAAAGAAAGTTTGATGCTTTGCACTATGAAGTAAAACTAAGAAATTACCCTGTAAACAAACTGTCTAAGGCCTAAAGGATTATTGCTGTGAAATGTGAAGGATGACGTTGGTGGTGCTACAGTACAGCCACACAGGAGCTGCATTTCATCCCAACCATGATGAGTCTTCCTCCTGCAAGCCGCATTATGCGATGCAGCAACCAGTAGTGAATGAATGCATCTGGAGCTTTGACCCCCTGGTGTCACTGTTGAGCCTCACTTCACACTGGGATCCTGTGCAGTTTGGAAAACGGTGCACATCGCAACATTTGATTTGGCAGAGAAGCAAAGAGTCAAGAGACATCGGAAATAGATGAGCACCACGTCCAGAAAACATTACATAAATGTTGCATCAAACACCATTTCCATCACGGCAAAAAAGTGGAGGAGTTGAAGGAGTGCAAATAGCTCGGCGTTCACCTGCATAACAGGCTGGACTGGAGTTGCAGCACTGAACAAGAAGGGACAGAGCGGACTGTACTTCTGGAGGAAGCAAAGATCTGTGAAGGTTTGCAGCAAGAAGCTGCAGATCTGCTGCTGAAACCGTCATCTGTTGGGACTTAAAGTTCAACAACCTGGTTCTGAAGAGGATGGATTCTTCATAAAAATAAAAATAAACTGTATTTTGATTCACTACAACAGCGCATCTTCAGTCAGAGGCTACTGATCGCTGCAATACAGTCTGCTACAGGAGATCATTCCTCCCTAAACCCAGCATCCAACAACTCTGAAAGAAATCTGACTTACAACAACTTTTAATTTTCTTTTGAGATCAAGAAGGTATTTTCTCTTATACTGAATTAGGGTTCCAGCCAGGGTGCACCGTATCCATTCCAGATTACTGTTCTGCTTATTGATTTTATCCACTTCAAATGTGGAAATGTAATTTGCAACCATGTGCCATATTGCTTGGATCTGACTAGGACATTTCATCAATCATAACATTTTCCTGAGGTCGAGTCAGCATTTAATGAAAGGAAGTTTGTGACAGGATGATGAGGAAACAAGTTGCAGGATTGGAAGACTATACATTAGTTAAACAAAAACAGAAACATTGAGTAAACAAGGACATCACACCCCGTCACCACATCCGGCCTCCCTAGAGGGAAACTCTCACAACACCACCTTAAGGCTTTACTAGAGTTTGAGCAACTTGGAGGACTATTACTCATGCTGCTTACGAGTCTGCCGACTTTCACTTAGAGATGTACGTCTACTTGGAGAGGAGCTAAAAAATGACTGAAAAAGAGAATGCAGTGATTCCTCAAATATATTCAAGCAGTTTCTGTTTCCTTGCCGTCCCTGAGAATTAAATTTATTCAAATGGGGTAAACAACAGATGATCTCACTTTGCTTTTCTGAAAAACAAGCATCACTGTTTTTCTTCTTCTGCACACGATCTGATTTTGTGTTTTCTTTAACAGCCGTTTGTTGGGTGATACCCTTTGAATGGAAGTATTATTGTCACTGTGGGCGTTGCACAGTCGCCTCCGTCGCAAAGAAATCTGGGCACAACAGGCACCGAGAGCGCCAGCAGACTGACGGTGAGCAGGTACAGGAGATGAGATTTATATCACAAAGTTCAACATTAACCAGGCAGAACACAGGAGAGAGAGGTACTAATGTAGCCTGAGGAGTGGTTTCTATCCAGTTACATATCCAGAAGCAACAACAACGTCTTTACCTGCTTAAAGTATTCACACAAAATCAGAAATGCATATACAAAGTGGTTCCACTTTAAAAAATGTCCGTTCTTTCTCAAACGTCAATTATGTTGATGGTTTCCAATCAAGATCTCCAATCTAAAACATTTTCCACAAACTCAATTCTGAAAATATACATTTCTAAAATATGATATCAAAATATTCCCCAATCCTTCAGACGTGTTTTAGCAGCAGCTCCAACAGCTTTCATCTTAATAATGTTCTGTTACATGCTTTTAGAGGGAAATATGTGAAGCAGAGGTACCTGGTGATTTATCACATGAAAACCTGTTTATTATCTTTCCAGGCTGTGTGAAAAACACTTCAGCTGCAAAAAGATGAACTGAATATCTTAGAGTGGAAATAATTTTGCTGAAAAATGCCATGATCCAGACATAATGATATGAAGAAATTAACAGCAGGAACTAAAGCCACTAGTTTTTCAGTGACAGATAATACCTTGCTGTTCTTTGTGCAAAGGTCATGACCTTTAAACTACTGTGTAGAAACATTTTTCATGCCCCACATTTCTACAAACTCTTTTTTCTGCAACAAACCTAAACGAGATTCCCTTGATGTTAATTAGCGACACTAAGCCCCTAAACGAAACTCCTTTCACTTCCCTTATAAAATGCAGACGCCGAACCAACTCCCATCTGAAAACACTATTTTTATCTAAACCACTGGATGCAGTCTTCACCTCCATCCAGAAATGAACTGAACTGTGCTGCACGCGTTTTTACAAGTTCAAGCAGGTCTTTAACCTTCACTTTTCCCGTGAGATCTCTGCAGCGATCCAAAGTAATCTGGGACTAGTCCAACTCCACCAACACACACACACACACACACAGATCCTGTAGATTATATTCACATTCACACAGAGCAGGATTCATAGCAGGCAGCTGTGTGGACCTTCCACTAAGATGCAGCACGTGCCTGTCTTACAGCAAACTGGTTTTCTTGGACTGAATTCAGGAAAACTATTGATTCTAAACAATGATCTACAAAAAAAAAAAAAAAAGAATCGCACAGAGAAAGATGCCATAACTAACCTTGTGAGGAACACCGTTCTGTCCAGTTTGAAGAAAGAAACAATGCATTCTCCATGCATGAACTGAGATTCAGCATAAACAACCGGAACAAAGCAAACAGCCAGAACTCGACTCATCTCTCGTTTTGTGTTTTCTCCAGTTGACTTTAGGGTGTAGCAGTTTGAGATTCATGCTTGAATGAAGCTGTAAGCATCAAACTCTAAGCCAAACACAGAACTATAAGAGCAAACAGTCACTTTATAAACCATCTAGAACACATCACTGCTACAAAACACCCAACAACTTATGTGAATAAATCATGAGCACAATATGCATGTCAGGTCTGGTTCCAGCTTCCTCTCGTCACACGTTGAGCCACTGCACGAGAAAATCTGTGCCATCTGTGTATGAATGTGCACATTTGTGATTGTGAATGGATGAATGTGTCTGGATGGTCAATATGGGGCTATAAAAATTCAGTTTATCATTTATAAACAGAGATTTTAGTGTTGGTAGGAAATACCACTGGAATCACTGGTTTATACGTCAGTGACTGATTATTATATATTTTTTCTTTTCTTCTTTGTATTGTTCTTGTTCTGTCTGTTTATGGACCATAACTGCGTCTAAAAGAGGATTGATTGATTGATTGAAATACAGTCGAGCAGTATTTTATTCCAACACAAAACATGTTTAAGATAAAAGTTCTGATACAGCAGGAGTTATCGATTAAATCAGGAGTAAGATTCACAAACTTCAGCCCACTAATGTCAAGAAACGCACTTATAGGAGCAATCTCCTTACCTTGAACATGGGAGTGTCAAGCACAGGCAGCGTCGGAGCAGAACCAGTGACGGAGCGAGACGCTACCACAGCCAGGAAGCGAAGGCCGTTTCCGTCCCGATTGTCCCTGTGAGTTTAAAAATCTGCAGAAGAGAAGAAGAGACGGTGCCAGGAGTGAAATCAGTGTTATTTTACTTTCACCCCGATTGTTCCCGAGAACTGGGACACGCATATCAGAATACGACTCCGTGGCATATCAAGTTTTGATCCGAACAGACAGCAGATGAAGACGCTGGGCTGATCATGCTCGTGGTTGGAGCAAATATCAGGCGCCACTAAGGTAAGCTAAGGTAGTTTATATAGCACATTTTCAGCAACAAGGCAATTCAAGGTGCTTTACATCAATTAAAAGGAAATACAAACAAAACGACAAACCATAGGAAAGACAAAGAAGAAAAAGCTAAATCCTTTAACACCAACTAAAACGTGTCAGCGGCAGATTGCATCATCACAAGAACTGGGTGGTGCTCTTCTTTTCTAGGATCATTTGTCGGTTTTGAACACTGCATGAACATTTCCACATTCGATGAGCGGCTAGCAGAAGCAGGTTTAATGTTGGTAGGCCTAAAAACAGCTTGAATTACTAGTTCACAGAAGCACCATGTTTGCACAAAGTACAAGACGTACAGTTTTTAGTTTGCAGCTCAATTCAGCACTAATTCACAACGTGTCATCTCAAGCACACTAGAGTTGGTTTTCTGTGTTAGAGGAAAGTGTTGCCAGTAGTCAATGATTTAACAGCTGGAGATGGGAGAAAATACCCAAATTAATCAAATGGAAACAAAGTAAAATGTCCAAATTATACAGAGTTAATAAAAAGCTACCAGTCATTTTAAAATTACAGATTAATTCATCAACATTTTCTCCTTTGAAGTTATTCTGACTGAACCGAAACATTTTGATTTCTAGTTCCTCATTTTTGACTTTCTGAACAATCAAGGTTTTTATTTTCATTACATAAGTATTAGGTGACAAGAAGTGACACTTTACACATATTTCTGCATGTTTGTCACTTCAGGACATGAAACTAATTTAGATACAAGTCAAAGGAAACAAGTTGACACAAAACTCAGTGCATGGATGGAGTTTTTCATTAATATCCAAACCTGCATCATGCTGTATAAAAAAGTGACAAACATTTCAATCTTTACCCCAATTTACCTACAGGCATATCTGGTCTTGCTTCTCAAAGGTGGCATTGATGGAGCTGGTGTGTGAAAAGCTCAGACTCTCTCATAAATGTTTCAAGTCTCTGCTTTTGCATTTCACTGCAAAAACCAACAGTAGCCTCAGAGAGAAAGTAACGGGTTTGCAGAAATGTTTAAATATCTAATAAGCATCAAAGTCAGTAGATCCATGTTTTCTCACATATAATCTACATCTTGTTCACCTTTTCACACATGCTACAATCGTTTCTTTTAGAGAGAGGGAATATTATTTAAATAATGCATCCTGTCCACCCAATGGCAACAGAAACGATAGACACTGCTAAAATGTTTCATCCCATGCAGATTGACAAAAGTAGAGCAAATTAAAATCTGATTTATTTTGCCACCTTAAACATCTTCCATTGCCATTTGAAATCTGAATTCATTCAAGACATAAAAATCAGGCATTCAGACCTCAAGTCAAAAGTGACTCCAGTTGTATTTTAAGACTTGCAGTTTTCTTTTGCTCAGTGCTAGAAATCCCTTTTCCTCAGTATGCTTACTGTGAAACAGACAGATGACTGCTTCATGGTTTTTATGTATTCTAGATGCAGACTTTATGCACCAAAGCAGCTCTTTGAACTGAGCGAAAAAATTTAACCACCTGAGTGAGAAGTAAAATCCTGCTGGTGCTCAGGAATCAGACCTCCAGCTCGGTTACAGATTGGAGGTACTCAGAGTCTGCTAGCGGCAGCTCAACTTCCAAAGCAATAATATAACATATTAAAGTGGAACTTACCGCAACTAAATGTAGTGAAATAAAACCGAATGGGCTGCTGAGGGAGTAAGCTTGTTTACCCTGATAGATTGCAAATGAAAAATATCTTTAAAATCATTTGATTCTGTAAAAACAAACAGAACAGCTCAGATTACAGAATAAATGAGCAGAAAACGGGGAAGTGTGCCTCACTTCATAATTATTTTACATCCGGTTTTTATCTTATGAATTTCACACAACTTGCATAATATGTCACTGTGTTTGTTGCCATTAAGTGGAAGCCTCACTTTGAATCTCAGCTCCAATTATCTGCCTCGTAAGGCTACAATGAACTTATAGTGAGCATGAAATCTCCTTGCAATCAGTTAGCAAGAGGCAAAGAGTTTTTCACCATCCACCAAATCCTATTTGTATATAAAAAATAAAACCGTGAAAAACTGATACATGCCCCAGATTTTAAGAAAAACAAGCTATTGAAATCAACCTGCCTCTTTGCAAAAATAATACAGCTAAGATCAGTGATAATGATTCAACAGCTTCCTCACATTTCTGCAAAACATTTTGTCGATTGGAGCAAAACAAGCGGAAGTTTTTTCAAGGGACTCCATTGCATGCA